AGTGTGACATGCTTAGAATATATCCGAGCGATGTACACCACTGAAACATTTCTTGCCACTTTGGCACACCTCAAATATTTCTGGCCAGTTTGACTTGGCTCAAATATTTCTTACCAGTCTGACACACTTCAAATATTTCTTACCAGTCTGAACCCCTTCAAATATTTCTGACCACTTTCACTTGACTAGGATATTTTTGAACACAATTTATCTACCCAAAAATTTCTGGTCACAATATTAAAGGTCAAACATTTTCTACCCAATCCAATATTATATTTTCTCCCAAGGCAAGAAAAATAAATGGCCGCACAACCTATTAGCCTGGATACATTCTTACATTTTACAAGGCTAATAGCTTGTTCAAGGTGGGTGACTGAAGTGCATGGCAGTCATTTCAAACTTACGTGCCTCCATAAGATCTTCCAATGATGGTCCCCATGAATCTGGCATAGGTTTGTGAGGATCAATCATATGTGTTTTGTCTTGCCAGTTGTTGCATAAGCATGCTAAGAATTCTGCACGCAAGACCATCTGATAGACTACTTCTTCACTTATATTCTTCTTCATAGCCATTGTTACACATTTCCACTCCTCAATGAGCCAATCTTGCATGGCACTTCTCTCATATGATAGTCTCCTTTCTTCCTCATTACATCTATCCAACTCAAGCATGGATTTTATTCCCTTTCGAACATTTTCATCACCCAACCAATTGGGGATTTCTCCTCCAGGTAAAAGATCAGTCTCATCTAGGCCCACATCTTGCCATATGTCATCATCAACATCCAGCTTGAACAATCCATCACTGGCAATAGGATGAGGTGCATGAGCACCACATGGTGCTTGTTTCTTCTTAATCATAGCCTCCAACTCTCCACATAACTCATTGTATTTTTTTGCAAGCTGTTGAATACCAGGTTCCTTCCGCTTGATTTGAGACACTGAGTGGTCCTGTAGCTTCTTATCTGCATTAGTGAGGTATAATACTGATATCAGTATTTATAGCCTACCATTGGTATTTGTTTTACGGTAAGCTCTTTCCAATCCATCAAGTTCAAATTTTTGCTGCTGAAGTCTGGTTCTCAACCTCTTTTTTAAGTCCAAGGCATTTATCCGGACTTTTAAGAATTTGTTTCCCAGTAGCCGATCAAGCCAGAGTCAGCCATCTGTTCCCAGCATTCCACGTTTACTTTTGTAGGCTCTCTCTAGTTTGTTGCATTTCTCTTTGAGTTCAGCAAGTGTCACTCTAACTTCAGAGAGATCCCACCCATCTTCATACTGCCCAGACTGAATCATACCCTAAAACTTGTATATCTCTTTATTGCACGAATCTGTATCCTCTTTCAATTGCATAATCTCTTCAATGAGTTTATCTGCCAGATTCTTGGATTGACAGGGCATTGGCTTAGTCTGTGCAACCAGTTGAGCAGCCCATTCCTCTCTTAGAATATCTTCAGTGATATCTAAATCTGCTAGCTCATCTAAAACACCAAGAGCTTCTGACTTGCACCATCTGTAAGTCCAAAGCCTATACACTTTCTTGGGTGATAAATGAGCTGGCAAGCCCATTGATGGCCATAAGCATGAAAAACTGATATAGCCCAGATGAGTCTATCATGAAAGTCTTTCAGAAAGCCCCATTTAATACAACTATGATGAAGATGACAGCCAATATCATAGAGCACACCCACTCTAGCAGTTGAGGGTAAATGGTTGAACAAACGTTCTAAAAGAACCAGAGCACAGTGTTGCTTCTCTCCTGCAGAAGTCATGTTTACCAGCCATAAGACACGATCATGTCGACAGAGAAGAGCCATGAGTCCAGTATCAGAAAAGAACTGAGTGCTAGCTTTAACTCGTTTTTCATCTGCAGCAGTAAAAGAGTCTCCACACATGTTCAGCACAGAGTTTGGAACTTTGAGTCCAGGCTCACACAAGTCAGGATTTTCATCCTTCTGAGGCTGTAAAGGACTATCTTGTGACTTTTTACCTTTTGAACCAGACTTGGGCTCTGGGCGTATTTCATTGACTATATCCTCCATTGCCTTGACATCTTCTGAAGAGACGAATGCTGTATCTGGGTGCTTCTGAGGGGCAGGTGGCTCTTGACCCTGAGCCTTTCCCGACTTTTGCTTGAAACAAGCATCCAAGCATACAATGAAATCAACCCTTACAAAAAAAAAGTTGAGATCACAATAATAGTGTTGGCCAAAAACTCCACATACAAATCATCAGGCTTTGACCAATCTTTTCCACCAAAGCACAAAGGACACTGTCCTCTCAGATAGTCACTTGGTCTTTCCAAGTTTGGTTACGAGTCCTCTGAGTTTACGAAGAGACTCGTTTATTCCCCAGGATCTTGAGACTTTTTTCAGCGTGGTAACGCTGAAATTTGACTTTCTCCCACGAAAGTGATTTCTTCCCACGATCAGCTGCCTGCTCAGCATTGACGACTTTGCCAGTCTACTCTACTATTTCTTAGTTATCACTTGCTTTTAGTCCTATCCATGTTGTCATTGATGTAGGTGGTAGCTAATGTATTGCTCTACTTGGCTGTCAGACTCTAACATATGAATATATTGCCTCCATTTTCACATTTGTGTAACTATACTCCTTTACATTAAAGATATAATGATTGAGGTCATGACAACTTTGGTGGCATATTTTTAGGGAGTGTGTGGGTATCCTAATGAGCCCAGGGCCATGCAAAATGAGCCACCATGAGAAGGTCCTGGGCAGTTGGTGAGTATGAATGCAAAAAGACAAAAATAGAACGTAACATATCTTCAAGAGTGCTTAACTAGTTCATAGGCAGTTTTTGGGAGCATCTTCAGGGTGTGTGGAGGTATCCAAATGAGTCCAGAACCAGAAAATGAAGCAGAATCAGGTGCTGAGGAGTTCTGAGCACAAGGGCAAAAGAGCGAAAAATATAAACTCACATAGCTTCATAAGACCTCAACTGTTTTTTAAACGGCTTTGAGTGGCATATTTGTGGAGTATGGGGGTATCCAAACAAGCCTGGGACCACAGAAAATGGACAAGAATGAGGTACTAAGGAGTTGTAAGCATGAGGGCAAAAGAGCGAAAATGGAAACTGACCTAGCTCCACGAGACCTTAACCGTTTTGTAAGCGGTTTTTGGGAGCGTCTTCATGGAGTGTGGGGGTATGCAAACAAGCCCTTGACCACAAAAAACGGAGCAGATTAAGGTCCTGGGGAGTTGTGAGCATAATGGCAAAAGAGCGAAAATACAAACTGCCCTAGCTCCACAAGACCTTGACCGTTTTGGAAACGGTTTTGGGGAGCGTCTTTATGGAGCGTGGGGGTATCCAAACGAGCCCTTCAACCACAGAAAACAAAGAAAATTAAGGTCCTGGGGAGTTGTGAGCATAAGTGCAAAAGAACGAAAATGCGAACTGACCTAGCTCCACGAGACCTTAACCGTTTTGGAAACGGTTTTGGGGAGCGTCTTCGTGGAGCATGGGGGTATCCGAACGGGCCTGGGACCACAGGAAACAGAGCAGATTAAGGTACTAAGGAGTTGTAAGCATGAGGGCAAAAGAGCGAAAATGGAAACTGACCTAGCTCCACGAGACCTTAACCGTTTTGTAAACGGTTTTTGGGAGCGTCTTCATGGAGTGTGGGGGTATGCGAACGAGCCCTTGACCACAGAAAACAGAGCAGATTAAGGTCCTGGGGAGTTGTGAGCATAAGGGCAAAAGAGCGAAAATACAAACTGACCTAGCTCCACAAGACCTTGACCGTTTTGGAAACGGTTTTGGGGAACGTCTTTATGGAGCGTGGGGGTATCCAAACGAGCCCTTCACCACAGAAAACAAAGAAAATTAAGGTCCTGGGGAGTTGTGAGCATAAGTGCAAAAAAACGAAAATACAAACTGACCTAGCTCCACAAGACCTCAACCGTTTCATAAACGGTTTTGGGGAGCGTCTTCATGGAGCGTGGGGGTATCCAACCGAGCCCTTGACCACAGAAAACAGAGAAAATTAAGGTCCTGGGGAGTTGTGAGCATAAGTGCAAAAAAGCGAAAATACGAACTGACCTAGCTCCACAAGACCTCAACCGTTTCATAAACGGTTTTGGGGAGCGTCTTCATGGAGCGTGGGGGTATCCAACCGAGCCCTTGACCACAGAAAAGAGAGAAAATTAAGGTCCTGGGGAGTTGTGAGCATAAGTGCAAAAGAGCGAAAATACAAACTGACCTAGCTCCACAAGACCTCAACCGTTTCATAAACGGTTTTGGGGAGCGTCTTCATGGAGCGTGGGGGTATCCAACCGAGCCCTTGACCACAGAAAACGGAGAAAATTAAGGTCCTGGGGAGTTGTGAGCATAAGTGCAAAAAAGCGAAAATAGAAACTGACCTAGCTCCATGAGACCTCAACCGTTTCGTAAACGGTTTTGGGGAGCGTCTTCATGGAGTGTGGGGGTATCCAAACGAGTTCAAGATCATGAAAATAGAAGAAATTGACAGAGAACTTTCATTGTGTTTGGACTAGCCAAGACAGCAATGTACCATTCCAGCAACAAACTACACACAGCCACATGAGCAAGAGTCAAGACACGCATTATAAGTTGACCAGATCCCCACCCAAATAAAATATTGCTGTGAGATGGATATGGTAGACATGTGGCACTCGAATTGTTTGGACTGGCCAAGACAATGACAAGCATGCAAAGGAAACAGACAAGATGTGGTAGATAGATACATTGCACAAATCGTTTGGACTGGCCAAGACGACAAAGAGTGCAAGACAGCAAAGCAAACAGCACACCACCTGCTTGGATGGGC